ATACATACAAGCAAATAAGAAGTAAAACAAAGCAAAAAAAAAAAAAAAAACAAAAAAAAAAAAAAAAGAAAACAAAATACACCACGTCATGTGACAGCGCAATAAGCGTGCAGGAACTGTTATCATAAACGGAGTCATTGAAATAAAATTGAAAAAGAAAAACTAAAAAAAGTGGATATAATAAAAAAATGTGTCTAAATTCTACATATAGCATAATAAATTAATCCAAGTACCAGTTGTTAAGTTTGGGTTTTGATTATTCGAGTTTCGAAATGTTACGTACGATGCTGTTAATTTTGTTCGTTGATTTTTATATACATACATACATACCTACATATAGTACATTTAAAAAGCAAAGAAGCAATGAATGTAAGTGCGCACGCACAGCGCAACATTGAGGTTATGCACATCATACATACATACGTACATGGAAAGAACATATTTAAAAACTTTAAATCCTAGGAATTGTTAAGCCGTCTTCTGCTTACTTTAATTTCGCCAAGCATCATCAAAATGAAAAAAAAAAAAWAAATAAATTTCGCAGTAAAGCGAAGCGCTATTTAAAAGTACTGTTAAGCTTGGCGCAGTCGCATAGTAATTACATTTAATTTACTGTTTTGTTTTCGTTGTTTCGTTTTGCTTAAACTTATACTTCAATCCTTATCGGCGCTGTAAACACTTACATACATTCAATTTGTATACGTAGAGACGCATACATACACACACATGCAAGCATTAATACAAACAAACACAAAGCAAAACATATATATACATAAATTGTCAATTTTGTTATGAACATTATTATTATATATGAAATACTTATATTGTACTACAATAACTTTTTCTTATGGCGTTTAAGTGGAGATGAGATATTTGGGGAACTTTTACAATTTTTTCTTATTATTATAACGCATTCTCTTCTATGGATTAATTATTCTTATATTATCACTAGTACCAAATAAAACACGCATACACATATATATACTCACAAAATGGGCAATTGAAAAATGCGAAGAAATTATACACAATAAAACATAAAAAAAATATTACAAAAAACGTAACCAAAACCAGCGCTTTTTTTAATTCCATGTATTTAAGGACCAAAACTATTTGTTTAAGGTTAAGTGCGACTAAGCAATTACTTGCTTATCCTCGTTTTACGTTTTTTAACCTCGTAATTTAATTTTAATTAAACGGACGGGTGATCACAGGCAGTTGAGTACATCGACGGTTATTGCGACGGAGCTCTATTGGAAAACGCATCTCGTTAACGTCAATCGAGCGATAACGCTTTCTAGCAAATAATTTCAACATTGCCTTTATTTTTACCTTTGAGTTTTATTCAGTTATTGTACTTATATCGCCAGTAAAGTAATCTCAACCAATTTCGTTTTGTTTTTCTTAATTTCTTGAACTCATATTTGCTTTGAATTTCACATACTAGTTACTTAGTTGCTAGAGTTATGGCTCGAGAGACTACCGAGCTCACAGTGCTTGGTCGCATAGAGTGTAGGACAAAACATATGGGACGGTTGGCTATGAATGCAAAAACATGTCGTATACTCCAAATTACAATGTTTAATACAAAAAAAGTACTTAAATATAAAAGTGAAAGATTGAAAATTTGTTTAAGAGTTTACATTGTATACGAATGTAATTACAAGTACCCAATATTTATTGCGACAGAACATATTGGACTAGTCGCAGTTTTTTGCGTAATTTTTTGACGAGTTTGCATTCTCTATGCAATTTGAACAACGGCATAAAAAATCAGCATCATTTTAGTTTAACCAAGTTTCGTTGTATAAAAAGTTGTGACGCGATTAAAATTCTATTATACTTATGTATTTCGAAGAAATTAATAACAAAAAGTGACCATGGCTGGAAACATAAGTTTAATTCTATTAAAACAATTAATTAGCAGAGACTAATAACAAATTTTATGTCAACAAATCAACAGTGAGCATTATTGTAAAGAAATTTAGCCAGAGTGTATCTGAAAACTCAACATCGTGAAGGACGAGCTAAAGCTGCAACACGTCAAGATGATTCAAAAATACTTATAGAGCTAAAAAAGTTTCCAGATAAGTCGGCAGTGCACACGGTTAAAGCCGTAAATTTGAAAGTTAACAGCCATCCTGTACAAAAGAGAGCATGTGCAGGTGGGCTAACAAGTTATAGCGTGGTTATAATATGCTTTAAGATTAAGAAAAAATACATCAAGAAGATTACAACTTGCTTACGAACACATCTATTGGTTAGTGAAACAACAATACTTTTTTCTGGTGAATTAAAAGTTAATTTGAAATATTCAGACAGAATGAGAAGAGTTCGCCGACCAAAAAATAAGAGGTTAGATCCCTGTTACTGTGATACTGTTAAGGTACGGTTAAGCATGATGGAGGTGGCATTATCATATGAGGATGTTTTTCCTGGTTTAGCGTTGGACCTCTTCATCGAAACAATGGCATTATGGATGGATTGATATACAAGGATATTCTTGAGAACGTGACGCTTCCCCATGTCGAGTGGAATACGCCACTTTCGTGGTCGCTTCAAACACACATTGAAACTTGTGTCGGAGCTCAAAATATTAATGCCCTAAAGTGGCCAGCTCAATCGCTGGATCTTAATTCTATTGAGAACCTGTGTAATATAACAAATATGTAGAAGGATAGACAGAGAAAGAGGTGAATGGAGATAAAAACAAATTGTTCAAAACTGCAAAACAAGTCTGGTTAAACATTCCACCAGGAATTGTTTACAATCTTATAACTTTTATGATAAATAGAGGCATTGAAGGTGAAAAATAATTGTTAAGCTATAACATATTCAATAACAATTATTGATTGACATAGAGTCAAATATTTTTAAATTTTTTTTATTTTCATAAAATAAATAGTTATTCTTCAAATCTAGTGATTTGATTATATTTAAAACGATAATTGCGAGAATAGGGGATGATAATGAGTCTCGTAGGGATGGGTCTAATATGTTTTGTCCGACACTCTGCGAAAGGGAATTTATTTTTTTTTATTTAGTTTCGTTAAAGCTCTTTGTTTTTTTACAAGTTTTAATT